CATGAACTTAAGTGTGCACATTTGATTTGCCCCCTCAAAGAAAATTATTATTTTTTGGTTTGTTTATGGAATTTTTTTGAAAATTAAAATCTAATTTAATTAATAAGCACTTAGTAAAAGGTACATTTTTATGTCAATTTATTTTTGTATAACTCTACACATAAATTATCTTTGTGTAGTAAATGATAATGATAATGATAATAATGATATTATACTGTTTGTCAATTAAAATGAGTTCACTGAAAAGTGTATTAAACTCAAATATAACAAAATTTTCTTGTGGTGCTATCATATCAATATAGATATATGAATAATCATATGAATTAAAGTATATATTGAGCCGATGATATTTTTTATGGTCAATCCGACAAACGAACTTTAAAATTCCTAATTGAAATGTTTTCTATTATGGTGTCTCTTAAATTATCTCGTTCTCGTATATATTTTTGTACAATTTTCTTATATTCTTCATATTAGTCTCACTTTAACTCGTGATTATACGTTCCAGTTCCAAGTAGTTCTCATCAGTTTTCTTTTTCATGCTTGCTTCTAATGTCTGCAATTAAAATAAACAACTTAATAAAACTATAAATATAAAAGATACCAAAATTTATTTTTTATTATCTATTTTTCATAAGATATTATATATTGAATAAAGTGGAGAATTATGATTGCTTGGAGAACTATAACTCATAAATCTAAATCTTTTTTAGATAGTTATTTCTACATTTTATTAAGATAAAATTACAAAAATGATCCCTATGGTTTATCAAAAGTCACAAAGTCAAGTTTCTATTAATTTTTTTTATGGAAATGGTCCTTGTGGTTTGCAAAACTTGCAAAGTTGGCCCTTTTTACTAACACCGTTAGTAAAACATCGTTAGAGACTAAATCTGTAAGGGTATTTTCGTCTTTTCAAATATAAAAGGATTAAATTCGTAATATTTGAAAAATCATAAGGACCACTTTTGAAATTTGTTTGAAAAAATAAATTAATTTGCTGAAGGAATGGGGTAAGGCTCAAACAGACAACCTCTATTCCTTTTATTTGATCAAAACCTTAATCATTTAAAGATGATTGTTCACTTGGTTATAACACCCTAAAACTAATTTGTATAATAACAAAAACGTTAATATTTAAATAATAAATAAATTACAAAAAACATTTTTTGTACATAACTTCTTTTAAAATAAAACAAAAAGTATTTTAGTCGTATTACAAAAAAAGCATGTTTTTTACAAATAATTTGTATGTATTTATTTTACGTAAAATATATTTTTTATTTCTTTAAAAAATAAGTTTTCGTATAAAAAATATGTTTTCATATATTATATTTTTTTATGTCTTTGAAATAAAAAAAAAACGATATGGACCGTATAAAAAAATATGTTTTTATATATTAATAGTACTCTTGACATAAAAAAAAATTAAAAAAAAAACCGTATAAATTGTTTAGATACATAACATAATCGTTGCTAAGTTGTTTTTAATACATATAACCGAAAAAACGGTTTTAGAACTAGCGACTCAACAAAAATTATACTTTTTTTTATGTCATGAGTAGTGTTAATTATTATTATTTCATTGAGTAACAAATTGAATCAATCTCCATAGATTCAACCCCGTTACCACTATACACTATTTTAGTGTACAAGCTTTAGGGTTATTTATTTTGTTGGCTTCGACAACCAACAAATTTTGGCGCAGTTGTCAGGGATTAGTTTATTTTTTTATCACTTTGTTTCCCTATGCCCATATCTCATCGTATAGATACTCAAATCTACAATCCCGAAATTGAAAAAAAAAAGTATAGCTTGGAAATGAACACTCCTTGCGTTCAATACCAACTTTCTGAGCTAGCTCATATAATTATGATGATTGGAAGTGACCAAAGTTTGTAGCCCATACCTCTTCTTTTCTATTTTTGCTCCCAAGATGGACATCATTCCAATATATGTCCGTATTTACAAGGAGAATGGGAAGAAGTGAAAGAGAGAGGAAACTAGTAGTGGTCAAATCAATGAAGTTATGATCAACCTCAACATGATAAATGATGAGACAACAACCAAGCTTGGGGAAATAACCAATACCAACACCCACACCAAGCTTGGGGAAATAACCAAAACTAACTAACACCACAGTTCCAACAACCCTATACTTACCATCCTCAACAAATTGAAAGGCCAAGCATGTCCTTAGAGGACAATGTGAAAAGCATTGCCACTTTTACCTAATTTTTCCAACAAACAACCAAAGCTAGCCTTAACAGCTTAGAGCAACAAATAACACAACTTACTTAATAAATGAGTATAATGGAAGCTCAAGACAATCTATCATCTAAAGAGAGCCCATGACATAGAGCATGTGTCTATTCCTTTGAAAGATGAGAAAAGTTTTGATGGCCTGAGAGTGTTATATGAAGAAGAAGAAGAAGAAGTAGTAGAAGTGGAAGGCGCTGTCAAGAAGGAAGAAGAAATCGAGAAAGGTGCCAATGAAACTATAGAGGAATTTTTGGGGGTTAAAGAAAGAGAGGTTGAGCCACCCATTACCATTGAGAAACTAACTCCAACGGTAGACCAACCACAAGAGCCAGAAACGTTAAATCTGTCGGACCCTTCAAAGGATACTTATCCCGAGAATGAAGACGTCCAACCGGTCACCAAATCGACCACCATGTCAAAGAGGGAAGAGTTGGTCACCTTACTGAACAAGTACAAGAAAGAATGCAGTTGGATGATTGCTATTATTAAATTTCTAAGTCTATGATGGTTCCCCCGTAAAAAGAAAGTCAAATACAAGAAAAGAGTCCCAATGAAGGTGTGTATATTAAAAAATTCCAACATGGCGCAAGTTTTCCAGGTTAATGGACAACGTCTGAAGCCATTCTATGAAGGCTTCAATGCAAATGTCCAAGACATACTCCATTTAAAGAAGAGCATTTTTGGAAAGCATTGTGCTTTCGTGTTTCTCATTCGAATAAAGGACTTTTGAAGATGTTTTTTGGATCCTAAAAGAGTTGTATTTGAAGGAAAAAAGTGTTTCCATATGTTCGTGGTCTTCCAATCCAAGAAAATGCAAAGAAACGGAAGAAAATGAAGCAAAAAAAAAAAAAAAAAAACAATCAGGAACTGTAGCCTATGCGGGTGCGTGCTGTTGCGTAGGTATGCTGCAGGGATAAGATGTGTGGCCGAACACAATAGAGTGATGTTGTCCCTACTCATAACTTCATGATATGTGTGAACCGCGTGCCCCTGTACCATTTTGATGATTTTGACCATCTTTGACCAGATCTTTAAGTGGGTTGACTTGTTGACTTTCGTTGATCATATGACTTATGAATGCAATCTTCTTCTTCATTTTTCCCTTGTGCTCATCACATTCTTCCTCAAACTCCATTTATCTCACGAAAATAAGCTCCCAAACACCAATCTCACCAAAAAAATCAAAAGTGTCGTAGTTCTAACAATCGGAATTTCACAAAACCACTGCCACGTACATTTCCCGCCATCCGATCCCCCAAACAAGATCATTAAAAAAATAGTATGTATTTATTATCTACTTTTACATTTTATTAAATAGAAGTATAATTAAAAAATTATATTTATTTATTATCATATATTAAAAATCAAACAAATTATAATTATTGTTTCAGCAAAAATAGATTATAATTTAGAAGATGTTTAAAATTTTATTTAAAACAACTTATTGACTTATTAGCTTTTTGAAAAGTCAATAAGTTAAAAAAATAGTGTTTGATAATATGAAACTATATATAAGTTAAGACAAATATTTTTTAATAAACAACTTATTGACTTATTAATTTTTTCCACCATAAAATCTAATCCAAACGGTTTTTAAAAAACTTCATTTTCACCATAATAAGTCAATAAATCATTTTGAGATTTAAAATGAAAACCCAAACAATCTCTTAATCATAGAATAAATAAAAGTTAAGGTTGAAAATTATATATATATATATATATATATATATATATATATATATATATATATATATATATATATATATAGAGAGAGAGAGAGAGAGAGAGAGATGTTCATGTGTTCTAACTAATTATTGTGTGAATGTATGGTTGATTGTGGACTAATCAAAATATAAACAATAAATAAATAATCAAACAAATAAATGAGGATAATTTAATAATTTAATAAATAATTTATACAAATACACTCCTATAATTATGGCAATCACTTTGACCTACCTTCATCCTTTTTTAAAACAATCAATAATCATTGTATTCTATCCCATTCAAAATTACCGATGATCCTCCCTAACCTTAGCTCCAAAACAGATAAAATATACCATAACAAGTTGAAGTGCGAGATAGAGCGAACGCCCGCCATCACCATTCCCCTCACATCTCCCTCTTATCATATCTGGTGTTTCTTCATCTCCTTTAGCTTATATCGTCGTCAGAGTTACTTTTGTTTTCGCTGTCTTCCCCTTCACCTCTTCATCCCCATCGTCCAACAATACAAAACCTAAAAGTCACTTAATGACGGAGGGAGAGGTATTATAGACGGAGAGTTCCATTGACCAACACCCAAAGAAGATCGCCACCGCCATTGTTTGTTGTTGCCGCCACCACCATCGATCAACCCAACTTCCTTCTCCTTCTTCTTCACCATCGGCCACTTCTGCCTCCTTCATATCACTATAGATTGGGTTTTTTTCCTGGTGATTCTGGATTGCTTAGAGTTTCTAGGAATATGGAAACTGATTTCCCTTATTGAATATTTGTCGATTTTAGATTTTAGTTGACTGAAGATTGGGGGGAGACATTATTTTCTACATTGAGCAAAGCAGGTGGAAAAGCTTTCAGCAACATAGTTGTGGGTTACAACAATGTTGATGTCAATGTAACAACCAAGTACGGTGTTGTTATTGGAAACACTCCTATGAGTTCATACTTCATAATCATATCAATAATATAAGTATATCTTCACAAAAACAACAATCGAAATTAAAACTTCAAAAATTATGATTTATACATATGGTGTACTTGCAGAGACCACAACAGAGTTAGCAACATCACTTTCACTTGCTGCTTCAAGATGGATAGTTGAACTTGATGGGTTCATGAGAGCTGGCCTATACGATGGATGGCTTCTCTATCTGTAAAATCCCATATTTACCCTTCACCAAAACCAAAACATTTTCTCCTGTATTGAATTGTTTAAACAATTACTCTTTATTAATTTTCTACAGGTTTGTGGGGAATTTGCTTAAAGGACAAACTGTTGGTGTGATTGGAGCAAGTCGTATTGTATTTGCATATGCTAGAATGATGGTAAGGGTTGGAATTTACCATCTTACCCTTTTGTGGTTAAACTAAACTTGAAAAAGTAAAACATTTGGTTAATTATCAGAATGAAGGATTCAAGATGAACTTAATTTATTATGATTTCTACCAAGCCACACGTCTTGAGAAGTTTGTTACAGCTTATGGTCAATTCTTGAAAGAACTTGTCACATGGAAACACACATCATTAATGGATGAGGTTCTTTAAGAAGCTGATGTCATAAGTTTTCCATAATTACTCCATCATATTTATTTTAATATTTAGATCTATTTGATGTTTGGTTTTGCTATAATCAAAGGGTATCTAACCTAGTTAAACCCAAACCAGGTAAATGCGTTTTTGGATGAGAACTCACCACCTCCATCAGCATGCCCAAGCATTGTCAATGCAAAACAACTAGGTAAGTAGAAAAAGTATATAAACATTTATAAAAATGCTACTTTTTATATATAATTATTATTGAATACGTACACGAATTTCGATCTTGTAAAAATTAAATATTGATATTTCCTTTGTGATTTGTGTATTTTCTACAATTCTTGGTTATGAGTTTTGGTGCAATTCACAAGTCCGCAAATTTGTACAATGGACTTTAGTTTTTTCTTTTTCATTTTGTAATGACTTATTCTTTCATAATGACTTAAAGAATGAATCAATGATTGATCATAAAAGAGAATGACTGAGAATTGAATTCAGTAACAAGTTAAATAGGAGAAGAGTAACAAGTTAAATTGGAGAAGATTAAGTATAAACAAGTCGATTATTTGGACAATTAAAGAAGATTAAGTGTATTTGTTCAATAATTGTATATTTGAGAATGTTATTCTTAAGAATCATATTCATTTTGATAACATTCTGTTAGAATATTGACAATCATATTAAAATGTATCAGTATGTAAGATTATTCATAAATTTGTATTTAAGTTCGGATGTATATGAATATATTAGAATGTTGTTATTTTTCAATTTTAGATTCAAGAATTTTATTATTCTTTTTTAATATTCTAATAATAACATTCTAAAAAAACAATATAATAGAACAACATTCTATCGGAATAACATGCTAACAATTAAAATTGAATTAATTAAAAAAATCAGAATTCAAAATTATGATAATAAAAAAACTCTTAAAATCCAAGAATTTCCTTTTTATATTCGTGTTTCTTAATTTGAAAGTAATGAAAATGTACATTTTTACCATTCTTTTAATTAAATGGTATTATTCTGTTTTTTTTTTTAAATTTAATAATATGGATAAATGTCTTTCTTAAAAGAACTACAGTAATTAATCTACAATCATTCCCATATCCACATAATACTCATTTAGAATACAATAAGTTAAGCATATATATATATATATATATATATATATATATATATATATATATATATACATATATCATGGTTGCAGAAATCGGGATTAATCGTGGGGCGTTCTCCAGCCATTGAGGATTAGGGCATTAATTGGAAATTTAGGATTAATCGGGTTTTACGGGATTAATCGGCCTTGGCAGGATTAATCGGTCAACAAAAGTCGAAAAAAGTCAAGAAAAGGTCAAAAAAAAATTTTTTAAAAATTCAAAAAACCAACTTTCTTTTTTTACTCCAAAATTTTCAAATTTTCAAAATTTCAAATATTATACCAAAATGTTCATATTTTCGTATTTCCAAATTTCCAAATTACAATTCTTCTTATTTTCTAATTTTGAAGTACTTATTTTTCTTAAAATATATTAATATTTAATTAATTTTAATATTTTATTAATAATTTATGATCCCCGATTAATCCTCGATTAATCCCCGCAAAGACCGATTAATCCCTTAACACCAGTTGACTGTTGAGCTACCGTCAAACGATTTTTACAACCATGATATATATATATATATATATATATATATATATATATATATATATATATATATATATATATATATATATATATAGAGAGAGAGAGAGAGAGAGAGAGAGAAGTAGGTTCATGCGAAAACATAAATATCTTGCGAAAACGTGAAAACAGATTTTATCTTATAAAAATTAAACACATGTACTATAAAAAATAAATTTATTAGCAATAAATTAAAGATAATAAGTTTACATTAGATTGCGTTATGATAATATAAATTTAAAAACGTTTTTAATAATTACTTTTTTTATGTCCTTAACCATTTTTAAATTCACATATTCATAATACAAATGTCAAAAATCATATTTTGCTAATATGACATAATTTCTCATCTATTATCGATTATCATTATGTATTTTAAAGTTTAGATGAATTATTGTCCAAAAAAATAATGTTGAGGTGACACCATCTCATAGGTTTTTTTTGTTTTCGCAAATTATTTGCATTTTTGCATGAACCTCTCTTTTATATATATATATATATATATATATATATATATATATATATATATATATATATATATATATATATATATATAGTGGTTCAAACGAGAATAAAAAAATGTTAAGAACCGTAAGAACCTCTAACTTTAAATGTTTATAAAGGGTTTAGGGTAATCCTAAACCCTAACCCCTAACCCCTAAACTCTAAACCGTAAACCCTTAACCCTAACCTCTAAACCATTTATAAACAGCCTAAACCCTAAACCTTAAATCTTTTATAAACATTTAAAATTAGAGGTTTTTACGGTTTTTAACTATTTTTTATTCTCATTTGAACCTATATATATATATATATATATATATATATATATATATATATATATATATATATATATATATATATATATATATATATATACAAAAAGAACGTATGTTGTTTCACAATTTAATCATCAAAACTTGTAATTTTTTATAACAACCTAACGGGCCAAAATGCAAAGAATAGTCATTTTCAATAGTTGAATCCAATTTATTTATTTATTTATTTATTACTTTTTTTTTTGTCATAGAACAAAAATATGTTTTTTTTTTTTTTTTTTTTTTTTTTTAATTATGTATTTCCTTTTCGAAAATTGACCAATATACCCCTTTTAACCTAATGCACACAAACATACGCAACCCTTCTCTCCATCGACAAATCGCCTCTTTCCTGTGAAGCCACCGTCGAAGCGCCGCACCCTACCGGAGACCTTCGACACCATATCTACAGGTGCGTTTCTTCTCGATGCTGTCGCTCTTTCTTCTTTTCTGTTGTCGCCTTTTTTCATTTCCTGGTTTCGTTTTGCTTCAATTTCCTATCTTAAATATGTGACTTGTATCTGATTTTGTTTCCATGCGAAATCTGTGAAAAGAAGCCCCGGTTCGTGTCTCTTCAATTCTCTTTTCCTCTTTTTCTGTTATGTAATCTTCTGCTTTCAGTTCAACCTTCGTTTTTTATACTTTCTACACTGATTATTACTTGGCTTGTATCAGATTTTACAAATTGCTTGTTTGTTTATATTAGATCATCAGATTAGCCTATGAAACTTTATCAAAATATCTCAAACTTTATCGATTAGGTTTTTTTTTTTTTTTTTTTCAGAATCCAAAGGAGCAAGGTCTCTCACTACAAAAGAGGTCTTTACACTGTATCCCGCGGCTATATTCGTTGATACAATATCATATCAATGGCAGCAGCTCCATCTCGTTCCTTCTTGCAAGTAGCAGCCACCGAGGAGGCAGTTGCTCCGCCTCTAAGAGTTGTCCAGATCGAAGGACTGGTACTCAGTTTCTATTCCTTTAATTGCACTACAACTCTTTTCTAGGAGTATAATTGTAGATCAGACGATGATATTATCGTGAACAAACAGGTTGTATTGAAGATCATCAAACACTGCACAGAATTTTCACCTTCTCTCGTGACTGGTCAACTTCTTGGCTTAGATGTTGGCAGTGTTCTTGAAGTAACCAACTGCTTCCCCTTTCCAGTATGTAACATGAAACAGTTGCTAATTTCTTTACTGAAATTCTTCCATAATACCATTATTTAACTAACACACAGTAGAATTAAATTAAATTAATAGATGAGGGAGGAAGATGAGGAGATTGAAGCAGATGGTGCTAACTATCAACTTGAGATGATGAGATGCCTCAGGGAAGTCAATGTTGACAATAACACTGTAGGCTGGTAACTTCTTTTTTCTTGACACATTTGAATTCTTTCTTTCTTTCTTCATTAAACTTGTTAAAAATGTAAGATGTGTATCTTTAAAGGTACCAATCAACTTTATTAGGCTCTTTCCAGACTGTGGAACTGATTGAGACCTTCATGAATTACCAGGTACTCACACACACACACACACACACAGTTACACTTTGTGATTTTTATTTGGTTGCATAAAAAATTCAAATATTCAAAAACAGGTATTTTATAATTTTAGGAGAATATCAGACGATGTGTGTGCATTATTTATGATCCTTCTAAATCCAACCAAGGTGTCCTGGCTTTGAAGGCCTTGAAGCTTTCTGATTCTTTCATGGAGCTTTATCGCAACAGTGATTTCAATGGAGAAAAGTAAGTCCATTTTTATTATCTTTTTATTATTCCTATGTTGTAAATTTATACTCACTTTTTTTTTTTTTTTTTTTTGAAGGTTGCGGGAGAAGAATCTCACATGGGTGGATATATTTGAGGAGATACCCGTATGTTCATTTTATTATCTACTTTACTTTAATAATTAATATTAAATATTAAATATTAAATTAAATGTTGTTGTTTGTTATAATATGTAAACAGATCAAGGTTTCAAATTCAGCCCTTGTGAGTGCATTCATGACTGAACTGGAACCTGATTCACCTGTTACTCAGGTATTTTATATTTATATAATTATATTTTATATTTATAATATAAAGAAAGAGTAATTAATTTTAACCTTTATATTTATATGGTAGTGTGATTATGATAGACTACAATTGTCAACAAATCCATTTATGGAAAGGAACATGGAGTTTTTGATTGAATGCATGGATGATCTCTCAATGGAACAACAAAAGGTTGTCTTTCTTTTTCTTTTTCTTTTTCATTTCTTTGTTTATGTAATAATAATAGCAAAAGTGACACGTGGAAAATTTGTATTTTTTACTTTTCAGTTCCAGTTTTACTACCGTAACTTGTCACGTCAGCAAGCGCAACAGCAAACATGGCTTCAAAAGAGAAGGTGGGTTTTTATTTATTTATTTATTATTATTTTTTGAATATTTTGAAAAATGTAAAATGTTATGTTGAAGGTCTGAAAATATGGCAAGAAAAGCTGCGGGAGAGGAGGCGTTGCCAGAGGAGGACCCGTCGAACCCTATTTTTAAACCGCTTCCCGAGCCGTCAAGATTGGATAGCTTTTTGATAACAAATCAAGTCTCCAATTACTGCAATCAAATCAACAGGTATTTCATTTAATTTAATTTTTTTTTTTTTAAAAAAATATTATTTGATTTGAATGTAATAAGTTTGAAAATTTCATATTATTTTTATGGACTATGCAGTGTTGCAGGACAGAGTTTCAGCAGATTATATTTGATGAAGGCGTTACATGAGTGACAACAACTCATGGATAATCAAACAATTAATCAGTGAAGGAGTTAATTACTTTTTTATGTAGGAGAATTTTGATATGTAAAAACTACTTGGAAATATTCTATTCGCAATTTCAGTTTCAATCCCTACTTGGTTTATTTATGAGTATTTGTTCTCAAGGATTTTGTATAATATGATATATTGATGGTAGGAAGCTTCGCATTTTATGTGTGCTTAGGTAGCTAGGCCTTTTTGATAAATCTATTGATCCATTTTTTTAAAATAAAATTACTGTTGCATCTGTGGTATCATGTTCTTAATGAGTTCTATACATAAGAATATTGTAACAAAAAATGGCAATGTAGAAGTAAAGTTATACCAAAGATAATGTTAAAGTTCAAATGATGGTGCAATTTTTTTTTTTTTCAAGCGGTGGTTATATAAAACTACCAGTTAATTAATATTGATTTCAACAATAAGTTATTTTATATTATTATGAAAAGTTACCTTAATTTTTTTTTTTTGTGGGTAGTAAATTGGTAAATTTTATATGCAGAAGATGTGAAAATACTCTAATAAATTTTATATGCAGAAGATGTGAAAATAGACTATTTTCAAACGGTGGTTATATAATACTACCAATTAATTAATATTGATTTCAATAATAAATTATTTTATATTATTATGAAAAGTTACCTTAATTTTTTTTTTGGGTAGTAAATTGGTAAATTTTATATGCAGAAGATGTGAAAATAGTCTAATAAAATAAACTTAATTCAAATTATAATGTTTTGAATTTATAAATCTTAACAAACTAAATTGATTATTAGCAACAGATGTGTATCTGATTAAATATAATATTAGTTAAAGTAAGTAAAAGCGTCTAACTAAAGAAAATCGAGGTGTACTAAATAAAAAATATAAAACAAAGTAATTCTAAAATAAGCAAAATACTAAAATTGTCAAACAAATAAATAAAAGCACTTTCATTTACAATTTGAATCTCCTCGTGATTATGTTTAATTCATTCAGGTGTAATGAAATTTAATAGACATTCATGGATTTCTAAAGTGATTAACTCAATGCTAATATCATTAACTTTATGATTCTAATTTATCTACTAGCAACATTCTTAAAAGTAACCCTAAAAAGTGAGAATCATATCCCAAAAAAAATTTACTTTTTACAAATGAAAAGACGAGTAACATTATGTATTTGAGTCTGTAACTATTAATCATAAAGGTACGTCCATATATGATTAGACGAGTAGAAAAAAAACTATGTAGTCAATGTTATTTTTTCATTCTTGTAATTGTTAAGTGATATCTATGAGCCCATCGATGATTTGGTGCTAACATATAAAGTGATTGATTCAGCCCACACTAAGGTGCTGTTTGTTTTTTCTGAGGCAAAATGTCTGCAGTCTGCGGATCACATCTGTAGACATCTGCGGTAGAAGAGGTGGACCAAACATCTGCAGTCTGAAAAAAGAAGACTGTTTGTTTTTTTAACATCTGCGGGCTACTAAAATAAACTGAAATCTAAATAAACTGATTTTTTTTTAATTTCAAAGTGATTTTTTAATATTTTTATGACTTTGTTATAAATAATTAACAAATCTATATCAACTTTTATGTATTATTATATAAAAAATAAAAATAAAAATGATATAAATTAACGTATATATTTGATAAAAACCAACAACTTTGGTTGCAAAGTTATAACTAAACATTATAATTAGTGATCACAGAATTTGATACATAAATTGATGAAAATAAACTTCGAATTTTTTCAATTAAATCCATTAAAAACGTACCATGGCACACACCATAGATTAGACAGCCTGGGAATGTTTACTCTGATAACGAACATATGTTTTGAAAACTTATGCTCATATTATGTTTTGGAATGATGATGTTACTTTAAGTAATGATTTATTAAAGAAATTTTTGGTCTTAAATTTTGGGTCGTTACAAGTTGGTATCAAAGCCTTGGTTTGAGGGATTCGGGCATACTCTCGGGTGTGCCTGAACTCAAACTGAGGGGTCGGATAAAAAAAAAAGTTTTCAAAAGCGAAAAGATAGTTTTGTAAAGAGAGTTTTGAGAAAGAAAACGGCTTTATAAAAGTAAAAAGAATTCAGAAAGAAAAGAACTTGAAAAGAGAAAAGAGGTGTGGTGCATGCAATCAACCGAGCTCAAGTAAGTACCCCAAAATACCCATACAAGTTTATGTTTTGATTATCAGTTAATAGAGCAGCATGCTAGATTAGGACTAAGGATCTAGGGAGGATGCCTTATGTGCCTGTTATATGTGCTTTTGATCTGCATGATAGTGCTGAATAGTCAGTAGTAGGATAGCCTGATTAGGTTATGCCTGAGTTATGAGTTGTGTTGCATGCTAGTTCAGATTCTTGCTATGTGGATATGATTGCTTGAGTATGTTATGGTTAGATTTTCCCTTGTCTGAATGCTGCTTGCTTTGTGCATTGTGGGATTCTAAGTGATGGGAGTTAGCCATTAGGTGGATACGTCACGTCACATGTGATCAGGGTTGAATAATCTCAGAGTGTTGGATTTGGTCCTATTGCGCAGCTCTTGTTTGAGTCCAACCGTTGTAGGAACGAGTCTTTTACTTGAAGGATTATCTGAGCCTCGTCACATGTGATGGTATCCAGGTGATGGCTAATTGGCATTGCGAGGAGGCCTTCAGCAGCTGAGGACTGGTTGAGTTGAGTCAAAGGTTTCCCTAGGGTAAGCCTAGGATGAGGTAGTGCTGGGAGCAGTAGAAGTAGAAAAAGGGACCTGGTGGAGTCAAAGCAGTTCCTGAGGAAAGTACGGATAGATGTGGAAGGTAGTATGGGCCCGTACTACTGAAAGCAGAGGATCCGTACTCGATTCAGGGAAGGCCGAGACAAGACCGGGAACCTGGTAGTGAGTATGTTTGGTCTCGCAGCAGTGAGGAGTATTCTGATAGTGGTTATGTTGTATGTTTCAGTATGGTGACATTGCAAGAGGGACCAGCGGGCGGATCAGGCGCCGGAGAGGGATTAGGCTCGGGTTTAGGGGCCGAGCAGCTCGAGGAGCGGATGAGGGAGTTGATA